AATAGATAACATGAATAGCACTTGTAGTACTTATAGTACAGCACTAATATGCAGATTAGTATAAAATGTTTAATCAATACAAATCTGTATTCCATAAAATAGTGGATGGCTTTAGTGTTGGCTCACAGCCACTTCATAACATTATTTATATAAATTAAAGTGAAAAATACTTTTAGTTCATTTTCCCCTTTTCTCTCTCTCTTTCTTCTCTTCTCCTCTTTTTTGCATAACCTTTAAAGTATTATCCTAAAGTAACAACACTGTATGTGAATATTATTAACATTTTTCTAACATTTAAAAACTTCAAAGATCAACCTTGATTTTTATTTTTTAACCAGTCCTCAGGAAATATAAGCGGATGGCAAAACCAATTTTGAAAAACATCGAGTCATTTTTTTTTTTTAATGAATACAAATTCTCATTAAATATAACTAGTTACTGGGGAACTGTAAAAAAGAAAATTTCATAATTTTTACAAAACTATTTTTTTTTTTAATTTAGAAGTTCTATAAGATAAATATTTACATCATTTAAAAAATTTTTGTAATGGAAAGTATATATCTACAACCAAAGTCGGCAAAAATGTAGGCTATGGAATATATTTACGAACAATGATCATATAATAAAAGTCACTTAAGGGCTCTGATGGACACAATGTATATTACTAATGACACAAACTCTGAAAGGCCCACCAGTGGATAAAAGGACTTAATAACAGTTTCATAACATTCAATAAACATCCCTATTCATATTCAAAATTCATTCACATTCAATATAAATGTGTATACTACCAATGACACAAAGTGTGAAATGCTCACTGGAGGATAAAAGTTTCTAAAGGTCAAATTTCAATAAATGTTAATTTCTTAAACTGGCTGAATGATTTCACTTTTTTTCCTCTCAAATAGTTTCAAATTTAAGCATTAAAATAACCTTTAAATAGTTTAAATAAATCCAATATTCTTGGAACATGTATTACGTTAATAGTACCTAAAAGGAAAATTGACAGTTCATGCATTTTAAAGGAATAAGATAATACTAAAAAAGTAAAGAGAATGTTCGATTAATCTTATAACACAAACAAACACTTGTCTGATGATTAAAAGCACAATGGAACCAATATAATATTTAAAGAATAATTTCCTTTATTAAATGGAACTCATGTCCTTATTTACATAGAAAACAAAAAACAAAGAAAATATTTATATACTATGTTATAACACACTTTCTGGAAGCGTTTTTAAGAGCTTTAATTTTTATTATCTTTATTCTACTATTCTTCTCCAACTGCAAAAAATTGTCATGCATTTAGAAAGCTATAACACCATAATAACTAAACTTACCAAGTTATCATATACTGAAAAAGCAAAAACTTTTATAGAAAGTTATATTTACCATCTTTATTCAGAAACAATGAATGTGATGATAAGTTTTCATTGGAGAAGGACGATGAAGCAGTACTTGATGAATTTGTGTCATTATAGTCTTTGCTTTTATGAAGAGATTTTGGTGAAGAAGTTGGAGTCGAAGATCTACGTCCTATTAGTGAACTAATAAATCCAGATGTGGGAGAAGACTGGAAAATGTCAGTTTGGGAATCTTCTTCAGCTTTCCCAGGGATCTTAGATCGACTAAACGTTCGAATGCCATCTGTTCTTTCCTGAACAGACAAGGATTCTTTCAGTTTTTTTGGCTTCTGTGGTAGAGGAGGAGGTGAGGTGTTAAGTGAAGATGTGGGATGCCTTGGAGGTAATATTGGCTTTTCCAAAATAGTTTGAGAAGGTGGGGCTAAAATATGAATTAATATTCAATGTTACATTTTTTAAAAAACTAAATTTATATCACATAACAGCATTTCAAAATGAATAAAACACTGATTAATTTGCCTGCTGCAAAATATTTCTTATAGCACTTGTACACTACAGGTATTTATGAAACTACTGCAGACTTGTATTTATCACAACAAATATTTCTGCCCCCCAATCATCCTCACATAACACAAAAAGTAACATTTGAAATTCAGCAAACAACTCTTCCCTAGACCATAATCATCTGAAACCATGGATGGTTGTCTTTTCAAGAAACTAAAGAGTTTCATTCTATTAAATGAATCATGAAGTCATTGAATGCATCATGTAATATATAATTTACATTTTACCAAATTAATGAAAAACCCAAATTAGAAACTGGTATTTTTAACCACTAAATGCATCATGTAATATAAAATTTACAGTTAAATGAATTAATGAAAACCTCTAATGATGAACTGCTAATTTTATTCTCCATGCAAATTGTACCATAATGCAGACTGTACCATATTTTTTAAATGATGATAAACAATTCAACTGCATTTCTTTTTAATAAATAAATTCAAAAAATAAAATGAATTTTTAAAAATATAAAATATAAATAGATGTAATTCACAGTTCTGCATCTTCTTTAAATTAAAACTGTTCCTATATACATCTTAGTTCCTCAATACATTAGTTCAGTAGTAGAAATAGTGTTAGTCTGACAGGCTGTGCAGAAAGGTTTATTTTCATTGCATACGAATATTAATTTATTTCTATCATTATGAAAAATACTGTTCTATGGCTGAAAGCTCACAATGCTGGGGGCTCATTTTAATCTTTATTTGACAAAGATTGCGATCATAATAAAAATTAAATTTACACAAAATATATAAAAAACTGGGAGGATCTCATGTGAGAACCGGGAGTTTCCAGGAGCTTTTCATGCTGCACGGAGACACCATCTCAAAAGAACACCAAATTGACTATATTCACTTTATAATACATGATTCAGGTTATTGAACTAATTACAATATTATTATAATATAAAATGTATTAATATTTAATTAGACTGTCATTAATAAACTGTGTCATTAATGAGATTGGGCTAATTTCATTTTTTAATTATCTGAACACTTTTATACTGCAAAAAAATCTGAATAGGGAAGGAAAATTCTTAAAGTATTTTTAAATGCAACAAAAATAAAATTAATAATTAATTACAAATAGTTACGCGGATAAACTTAACAATGTATCATTTAAGGATATAAAAGGAAAAAAATATACATATTAAACATTGCTTGAATCTTCATAAAAATTATATAAATACTGGCAGTAAATTAAGACAAGATCAAATAAAATTTGATAGCAAAAATTACGCTGAAAATCACTAAAGGCAGGGGAACAGAAGTTTCAAAGTTCAGAGCTAAAAATAGAAAAATTAGAAGATTTGGTATCTATTAGGAGACTGGGAGATGTCATGTAAAACCAGGTAAATTGGCAGCTAGGCTCGAATATATGAACAACATAGCTTTAACGTTATTTTGATCCTTTATTTAGAGCAATCAAGTACAGAGACCTTTTTCTCCATTTGCTTAAATTCAGAAATACCTCTCGCAGGTTATTGAGTCGACTAATGGTTTAATAATCTCTCTATTTAAACAATAAAAACTTACCATCTACAACTTCATATTCTTCTTCAGGCTGAAATTAAAAATAAATTAAAAATTTTATGGTTACAGAAAAAGAAGTATAAAAATTAAAAATTATAAGCATTTCATAGCAGAGTATAAACATATAGACAATGCTCAGAGAATATCAATTTACTGATATAAAGAATTTCATCTTATTACTTATATTTTCATAACATTCTTGAAGGCATGGTAGATAGAAAATTATATTCTAATTAAATTTTTAAATCAGCTAATTATTAATTATAATTCACAATACACTTACACATACACATAGATATAAAATACTTAAATGTATTCAAATCATATATAAGAAATACTAATACAGAATTTAAAAATAAATACTATTTCTTTTTTTGATAAATATCTTTGAAATAAAAATTCAACTTTTAAGAACACAGGCAGCATCTTATGTACACTAATACCTTTTAAGATCAGATGAATTTCTGATTTAAAAAATTAAAATAAACTGTGCATACTAGAACTTTTGTTATTAAAATGTATTTACCATACCACACAAGAAGCCTACAAGAAACCATAGTTAATTTTCAGTCCATTAAATTTGACTAAGTATTAAACAAATTATTTTATAGAGTGTTTTTAGCACAACCTTTAGTCAAAAATTTATTTATTTGCTCAAAACAGAAACTAAAATTGAGATATAATACAACAAATTTTGATAAGATATCAAAGATCCTATCATTTTAAACCATAGAATTCATTAACATTTGAATGTGTTAATTAGATGGCTATCCAGCTTTAAAGAATAGTAGTAGTATGACAGCTTTTTCATCTTTTAGAACACACACTCTTTATTCAATTTTTTCTTTACATAAAACAAAAGTCTCATTTTGGTAAAATACAATGAATCAAAAGAAAATTTTTAAATAAATTTTCGTTTAATGGATAAAATTAGCAAAATTGCTCTGATTTTTGATGGAATCAAAGCAAGAACTAAAATAAAAACAAGACTCAAAACCATATTATACCAAGGAATAAATTTAGTGTGTTTTTATAAATATCTCAAAAATGATGAGCGAAAACTGAACTACACATTAATAATGATGATCATATTAAGGAAAAATATAAAACAAAAATTCATATTTACCGGTTCAATCAATTCGTATGTTTCTAAAAATAAAAAAAAAAAAAAAAAAAAAAAAAATTCTCAAAACATGTATTAAAAAATTCATAAGTAAATACAGAAACTTAAATATAAATACTGATTATAAGCAAGCAATACCAGCTACAAAATTTTAAAATATTAAAGAATTACCATTCCTTTATAATAACAAATATTTTCAACATAAAAAAAAAATGTACCTAAACTCTTAACAATGGCATATATTTCAGGGGTCATATTTAAAAGATCACAGTCACATTTAAAGTGAAATAGTCATATTTAAAAGATCACAGTCATATTTTATTCAGATTTTTTTAAATTATAGCAAACAAATGCACAGTCATCAAAATGACATATTAGAGTAAAATATGACAAACTAATGTTAAATTTAATAATAATAAAGGGGAAAGAAAAAAATAATTTTGAATGAGTGAATAGCAAATTTCAGAATCCAGGGGTGAAAGACCTAAAAGGTCACTTGAGGCTGAAAGACCTTAGATCACTAAGCCTGAGGGATCTAAAGTATTCACATCAAGTCAAACATTGCCCCAAAAGCCTTTTTCGTATAAAACATGAAAAATGACACTAAACAAACAAACAAAAAATTCATATTTAAAAAAAAACACGCCACCAGTGTAAAAAATGCAAATTAAAATGTTCACTTTTATAATTAACCCCACCTATGTTATCTGTTTAAAGTAATAAAGCATAAATCCTACCATCTACTATGAAAATAGTGAATTACATATTTATGTAGTTTTATAAAGAAAAAGAACTCAATTTCGCCTTGATGGAAAAGAAACAATTGAATTTTTTTGTACGCAAAGTTAGTTCAGACATCATAAATACTGTACATTTGCACCAAAATAATGCAATATTAAATTATGGAAAATAAAATCTCTTTATTGGAAACTAAGCATATTACATTCTACATCCTGTATTTAAACACGCATAAAATCACTATTTCTTTACTATAACCATCCTTTACAATTTTATATGCTACAACTGTTTATATACAGTACCATTAAAATGCTATCACAATAGTATTACAGTATTATTAAATTATACATGCATTACTTAAACGCTTCTAGAATTTATACAGTCACTTTCAATGCAGTAGTAATTAAAATTTTAGATATATACTTTTAAACTAAACTATCTTATATATTACTGAATTATATATGCATTATCAATTCAGTGATAGTTGCTATAAAGAAAATATTTTAATATACTAATTAAAATATACTAAGTAGAGCAATATTAATGCCAAAAAATGACCCTAAATTGATACTAATATAAATAACAACATTAAAGTAATGATAATAAAAAAAAATTTTTCATTCTTAACTAATAATACATACATAATAAATATAAAAATACAAATTTTAAAAAAATATATTTAAAATTACAAAAGCAGTACAATAAATATTGCAATAAACACTAAATCCTACTTTAAGATTTACTGAAATTATCTTTACTGAGGCTGCTCTGTTTATTTTCAAAAGTTCTCTAAATATGGGGCATCTTGATGAATTGGTTGAGTGACTTGTTTATGCAAGAATCCTAAGTTATGCTTGGAACACCTTACTACCTGAAAAAACTCTCTGAAACCATGGGAGTTGAGACCAAAGGAAGAATGCTTGTACTCGCTTAGCATTTTACGTTTAGAAGTCTTTTTTACTAATCATCATACCAATTTCCACAGTAGTGAGTATATGCATATATATGTCATGATATAAATTTGAATGATTTGGAGCTTGGCGGTGGTGTAATAGATGAGTAGCGAAGAAACTTGGCAAGGCAAACACATCCAGATTCAAGATAACTTTATTATTGAGGAAAGCAAGTCAGGATTCACAATATTTGGTTAAGATACGGACGAGCGTCTTATGCGCTCTACATTTTTGTTAGATCAGCACATATTACTTGAACAAAGATGGTAGCCACAAAGCTTCTGGCCAAGAGGAAAGCTTAAGCTAAAGTGATGCATCAGTTCATAGAAAGAAGGGAAGGAGTCAGTTTTTAGTTATGGTTTACAATTCGGTGATTGGTCAAGAAGCATCTGCATAAGATCGCATGATTAATTTGAATGATGCAGTTTAGACTTGAGTGCTATTTTTTACACAGATAGATGAAGTTCCCAAATGAAATAGAAAATAACAGAGGTTATAGTGAATTAAATTTAGAAGTTTGCTTTCATATTTTTCATCTTACGTATAATATAGTATCATATAGCAGTACCACAGTAGAATCTATAGTATTACAGTAGTATCTGTATTATAATACCATATTAATTTCTATAGTATTTCTACAGCTACTGTAGAAAAACTGCATGATTTGTTTATGATAATGTTTATTGCTGTGTGACAGTATGAGGCTCAACCCTAGGTCCTCTGAATCTATGATACTATGCATCAAACAATTCAGCTATAAATAAGCTTTCAATTCAAGAGCTGATATTGCCAGTTTGCAGTGAGTAAAATCAGTGCAAAAATATAGTTAATATTAAACACAAAAACTATTTTAATTCAAATTAATTTAAATGACTATTAATACAAAATGGAATTTAATAATATTAATTTGCTGCGGCAGAAAATTTAAACTAAAATCTAAAAAATTTAAAAGTAGTTTTTTCCCTTCTTTACATTTAACAGTTCAAAAAATAGTTCTCATTCATTGAAAAAAGCTCCAAGAACCATGTTTAATGACCTAAAAACACATTTTTCAATAAAGTATTTATACTCTGTTCAACCAGGAGAGAAGATCGAAAGAGCAACTTTAAAAAATAATAATAATAATAATAATTGAATGAGATATGCAATATATTACTCACATTTTTAAGGGTTAAAAACAATTATTTAATTATTTTTGGAAGTTAAGAATTACCAATAGATGATGTTTCTTCAAATGGAATATTAAGCAGAGATTGATCACAGGAATTTTCTTTGACAGCTGCATTTACAATAGGTATTTCATAGTCTTCTTGTTGTTCTTCATGACTAGATGCCTTAATACAATTAAACTATATTAAAACCTTTTATATTAGTTTCCAATTTAGTAACAAATAACTAATTTAAATTCATAACAGTTTCTCAAGATAATCAGATGCATATCTTCAAATGCTGAGAACAACTTCAATTTATTATTTTTGGTGCTTAAGCACAGAAACATAAACTGAAAAACAAAGCATCCATTAAGTTATAGTCTTTACTAAGCAAGATCAAATTTTATCAAAATTTACAAGAAATGACATGAATATAACATAAAAACCTTCACAAGCAAGATGAACAGAAGAAAAGCAAATATACCAACACAGCCAGTAGATCAAATAAGATATAAATAATCTCCTCAGTATCCAAAATAATTTGTCACAATCGTGAAATGTTACTTACGGCATTGTTCAATAGCAATATGAGAAGGTTTGTTGCAGATATTTCCTCAGTTGTCACTGAAAAATTTCTCAGTTACAAAGTGCACCCCAAACCACAATCAAGAAGTATGATAGAACATGATGGATAGAGCTTCGTAATAATATCACATCATATATGTTGACTGGTACTGAGATTCAGTTATCATAAATAAATAGAATAAAATCCAATCCATATGACAGATGCCTTTACTATTATTCATGCACAATAGAATATTACATTTTTGTAGAGAAAACAGAAATTTTGTTAAAAGTATATCATAATATTAATTTTATTACAGAGAGCCCATTCCCCCCCATCATTAATTTTCATTAAAAAAACAGTAAAAAATCATCTTGATAAGCTATACCGTTTTAGATATCTTATGCTTAAAACCGGGGGGGGGGGGAAGGCTATAAGTTGCGTCAGTCATGTCTAGCCATCAAAAATGGAAAAGTCTCGTGACTTCAGAAACCTTAAAACACATCTAGAATACAAAAGCTAACTCTAACGCATAAGAAAATAGAGATTTTGGTTTTAGGCCTTTTATTTTTTGCTAAAAATATGAAAGTTCTTTTTTAGTTTATATAATGTATAACTCCTTATATGACTACCCTTAAATGAAAAATATCTTCAAGGAAAACATTCAAATTTTAAATTATGTTATAAATATTTAATACTGGCACTCATCCTTTACTTTCACTACGCTGCATAAGAAAACATACATATTAAAGATAAATATGAAAAGCACAAAAGCATAAACTGGAAACAAAGATGATAAAACATAAAACTAATACATTTTCAATCAATGACCTGATATATGAACAAACGAACAAATAAGAAATGCAACTTGTATCCTTTTATATTTCCAATGACAAATATAAAAGGGAAATTAATAACAAAAAATGTATTTCCAAATTTTTCTCATGAATGAATGCAGCTGAAGCATACATGTAAATAACATTGTTTTCCTTTCATGATCATAAAAAATAATAAATAAACAAACAAATTTTCTTTTTTGAATTAAAAAACAAATAAAAAAAGAGAAAATTTAGACAGATTGTTTTATATTTTGAATGCACTTATTTTTAAGCATTTTGAGTTCCTTTTAGTGCTAAATAAGTGCTAATAAAGCTGCACAGCCAATACTGGATATTCGATGTGGACAGCTTTATTATGAAGAAGAGTTTTATTTTAATAAATAAATTTAAACTCATGGAGCAAAATATACCTACTGAATTTTTAAACAAATTTATTATTTAAACAGCAAATCCTTTAACAAAGCCATACATTTAAATATAATCTGCATCTCATTACACTAACCTCTATTTTGATGTCAAAACAGAGTTATCTGTGAAATTAAATTATTTTAATTCACCATCCGGTAATTTTGTTCAGGTGTGAACATTATCATAAAAAAGTGAAATAAACGTTCAAAACTATAATGACTGAATATGTATGAATGCATATTTGAATTCATGGAGATATTTAATGGCTGCATTGAATTTGAAAAAAAAAAAAAAGAAAAAGAAAAAAAGAAAAAAAAAAAAGAAAGAAAGAAAGAAAAAAAAGATAAAAAGTATATTTATAAATAACATTCCGACAGATTTCATTTGATATTTCAAATAAAGAAAATTTCATCATATTTCTTGGCTCTTGAAATAATTCTGCAATGACTGATGAGAAAAAATAAACCAGTCATTCTTTAGATACTTACAATACATGAAATTAAGCTTTTATGATTTGGTCCAAAACAATAGTTAAGAAACAATCTAAATATTAATAACATATGAATTTGCATAATATCAATGCATATCAAAAATATCACCACCTTCAAATATGAGATAACAAAATTTGAAATAAAAGTTACATAGAATTACAATAATTGAAAAAAAAATAAGAATTATTAAGCATATACCTTATCAATTAAGTTTTTGAAAAACATAAAAAAAAATTGCATTTAAACATACCTGAGATACAGGGGGAGGAGGAGGCTGACTCGGTGGTCTTTTTAAAGGCTGCCTTGGAATATTAATGTGATTTGAACTCTTCATACTAAATGAAAAATCAAACATAAATGAGTAAAAAAAAATTCTTAATAATAGTAACTTAAATTTATACAATTAGAAATAAAACTGGAAACATAAACAAAATACAGAATTGTAGCAAGCAAGAAAAAAGATTGTAATTGTAATTTTAATTGTAACAAACATAATTCTGCAGAAACAAAAAATATAAAGCCTTTTATTAATTAACAACTAAATCATTCAAAATTGCAAAAACATTAAAAAGAAGAATGTTCCTTTTAAGAATTTTAAAAAATGTGGTTTGAATGAGATAACTTTACAAATAAATTATGGGAGTAATTAAATTCCTGTTAGCCTGGAGCTCTGAAACTGATGCTGTAAAGCAGGGATGTCAAACTCACAGGTACACTTGGGCCAAAAAACAAGGTTTAACTTTAGGCGGGCTGCAAAAAAAAAAATCAATACTCATAGAAACGTAGATTTATTTCGAATAATACAATAATAAACATATATATATATTTATATAGAAAAGAACAAGAAAAATTTAATGTTTACGTCCTGATACTTGACATCTCTTCTCTGCTATTATCTTTCCTATTTCGGGAGAAATTTTGTTTGCAGTGATAACTTTCAATGCTGACCCAAGGTGAGCATCATTAATACGGTTTCTAATAGGAGACTTATTACCTTTCATGACTTAAAATAACTGCTCGCACCCATAAGTGCTACCAAACGTGGAAATAATTTCATATGCGAATTTTCGAGTATTTTCAAAACCTGGCTGGTAAATATTTGTAAAATTCAGACACGCCCACTTCAATGAATTTTGCTTTCAAATTTGAGTTGCATTCAATCTCGATCACCTCCATTTGCATATGGCTGGGTACTGAGTCAATACTTATTGAGAAAATCAAAGAAAACAAAAAAAAAAAAAAAAAAAAAAAGTCTTCGAGGGAACTAAAATCATTAAACCTCGTTTCAAATTCAGTTGTTAAATTTGCAACTTTTTCTGCGTATTTTTGATACGAACAAGTATCATCTAAACTTGATTTGTTCATGCTGCACGTCGGGAAGTGCATCAAATCTTCATTTTTAAGTTGTTTTTCCCAAAGAATTAGTTGACATTTGAATGCTTTAATTATGTTAAACATGTTCGTAATGATATGATCTTTTCCTCATAATGATAAATTTAAATCGGTTAAGTGTTTGGTTATATCAACCAAGAAAGATAAATCTTGTATCCATATTGGATCGTAAGACAAACTTAGTCTTGATTTTTCGTTTTTAAAAACTGACATATTTCTTCTTTCAAATCCCAGAATTGTTTGAGAATCTTGGAGCAAGATAACCAACGTACCTCGGTATAGTCGGACAAACCCGAATATTCACTATCTAACTCACTTAAGAAAGCAGTGAACTGACGCTGATTTAAAACTCGAGATCTTATAAAATTTATAACTTTTTTTATATATGACAAAACATTCTCCATATTTTACTTTCGTGCATAGAACTTCTTGATGTATAATACAATGCATATGATGAATGTTTGAACCGTGAATTTCACTAAGTTTTTTTCTTAGTAATGCTACGAAGCCCTTGTTTTTCCCGGTCATTGATGGAGCGCCATCTGTAGCTACAGAATTTAATTTTGCCAAAGGTAGATTGTATTTCTGCAGAAGTCCAAAAACACAAGTAAATATATCTTCTCCTGTGGTAGTACCAGGCATCGGTATTAGTTCCAGTAATTCCTCAAAAATGTTAAAATTCTTGTCACAAGAACGAAGAAACACTGCTAATTGAGCTTTGCCACTAATGTCCATGCTCTCGTCACAGGCAATGGAGAAACTTTCGAAACTAGATGATTTTGCTTTGATCTGATCACTTAAATTCGCGGCTAAATCAGTAACTCTTTCCACAACTGTATTTCGAGACAATGAAATTGATTGAAAAGCCTTCACATTTCCAGGACAAACAATTTCTCCAGCTTTCATTAGGCATTCCTTGATGAAATCACCATCAGTAAAAGGCTTCGAATGTTTAGTTATCAACTCGGACAAGACGTAGCTTGCATGTACCGCTGCTTCACTTTCTTGCAATACTTTACTAAACATGGACTGTTGCTTTTTCACTCCTAACTTGAGCTCTTTCAACTTTTCTTCTCTCATTAATCCTTCGTAATTGTTATATTTCAATTTGTGTCGTCCGTAATGACGTTTAATATTATATAACTTTGGTACATTAATAGTATTATTACATATCAAGCAGATTATTTTATCTTTTATTTCACAGCAAAAATATTCTAATTTCCATTTTACTTGGACTATTCTATGTTTGTCAGCGATTTTTCGCTTAATTTTACTCCCACTTGGTTTTGATATAGACATACTGAATACAAAGGGCTGGAATAAACACGGTTAACGTTAAAAAGTTAACAAACATTTATTCTTTCCACAAGAGATAAATCAAAATGCTGAAATATTTCTTCAAAAATATTCTAACAATATCACAAAATGTCAAACAGTTTAGCAAGAATCAATTCAAAACAGAGAAACTAATTCTATCTCACAGCGAAATCGCTACAAATCAATCACAGCATTAAGTAAACAAACAGTTCTCTAGAACTACAGCTACTACTGAGATGAGTAGTTTTTTCTCGGCTTTTATAAGCTTTATAATTAATTTCTTGAATATACTGGAAACATCTATAAATATCTGGATTTTTATGGATGGCAACAGCAATTACGAGATATTTTTTTTATTGGGTATTAAATGCACGCGCTGTTCAATTTTTAACCTTCCAACGCAGCTGTCTTTTCAAAAATCGTCTGCGTTGCTAAGGCAACATGAAGCAAATCTAATTACAATTCTAAATTAAAAAAACTAAATAAATAAATAACTATGAAATCCGTAACAATATAATTAAGTAATAATTAATAATAAAGCAAAGTGCATGCACCAATATATTGTACAAAACTATGATTGGAAAACTGAGACCATGAGTTCAGCCAGATTCGGCTATCAGGGGATGCGTACAATTTCTGAGTGCACGTGTCCCCCAAAAGCCGAGGTAGCTGAACGCAAGCTACTCACCGCATTTGTAATTTAAGTAGTGTGTGTGTGTCAGCTCGCTGTGAGTAATCTAACAACGCCGATATAATTATCGTTTATTACTTAGCAGTAAATATTTAATTTTTTTTTTCTTCGCCGATATGTTATTTATTTATATTATTATTTGCAGATATATTGGCCGGGCCGCAAAAATATTTGTTGTGGGCTGCATGCGGCCCGCGGGCCGCGAGTTTGACATCCTTGCTGTAGAGCTTCAAGAATCATTTTATCTGTGACATTGACACTAAAATTAACCATATTCTTGATTCTTCTTTAAAAAATCAACTTAAACTCGTCAAAAATAAAACTGCACCTTAATAAGGACTGCATGTGATGACATGAAAATCAGAATGATGATGAAAAACACAACAGATATAAAAATACAGACTGTTTTATCAGCGTCTAGTGGGGTTTTTGATAACGATGCTGATGCAACCTTTTAGAAGGCAAGACATAATTATGTGACTAATTATTCTAGAAATGAATGCTAGAAAATCTATCATCAAGCCACATCCACAGTGACATGCTGGTCCTCTGAGGTAGTTGGCAGTAGTTCCAAGTGCACAATTATATTCAATACGTTTCCACAAGCATTTGTAGTTAAGAAAGCTCACACAATGCTGATGACTAAAGAAGGATGCTAATTTAAAAGTAGACAACTAAGCGTTCAGAATAGGACATGTAGCTGGGATGTATTTTTGTTGGAATATCCTGAACTATAAACCTTATTTCATATGTGAAGTTAGTGCAAAACTTATTAACCCCTTCAGAACAGATGTATCATATATGCATCAGCAGCTAATCCTCTTACAAGACAGCATGCTTCTGGTTTGCAGTGCTGAACTCGACTTCCTACTTGGCATGTCTGGGGATATTTCTGTGTCCACTGAACCACATATCGCTAACAGATAACAGATTCATGTTGTGTTGCACATTATGCAGACACAGCAGGTGTTGACAACTGAAGGTCATGCATGCATCCAATCTTGATCCTCAATTAATAGGTAGTGGTATTTAACTCTCTAATCTCATTATCTTCACTGTTTCAAAAGTTCTAATGTCTCTGATCTATCTCTGACAACCCTTGAACATTTAAACAGTTGCTGCATTTCACAGCTCACCAGCAGATCTCACATGAGCTGTTGTGAATACATTGTTGATCATTTGTCAAGTATTTCTTTATACATCTTTGAAACTGCATATACATAAGATATTTGCTAGCATCATATTAGGTTACTTTTTAGATTTACAATATACATAAAATAAGTTTGAAAGAGTCTAATGGTAGCATATGCATGACAGAAGGTATATAACTGAATTTTACAGAATCCAACCTGATTATTAGAAACCTTATTATTAAGAATGCAACCTTATTATTAAGAAAAATTAAATTAATATGAGTTAAAGCTGATTGGGGGGAACTCATTACTAGTTACTGTAATTGAGAGATCACATAACTTGTTAATTTTTTTTTAAATGTGGAATTTACATAAATACAAAATAAATCAACTAGATACAAGAATATTTTTAAATATATATAACATCAATACCTAGTAAAATTATCAGAAAGGTGAATATAGTACTTATAATTCTAGTATGTGTTATCACATAAGATTTACATAAAAATTTTAAACTCATGACATGCAAATTTTTGATGTCATCTTGCAATCACCAGATTATTACTTTATCTTAATCTTCTAATACTTCTGAACCTTTAGCATTAATTAACAACAAAATAATAATGTGAATTTGAAAAATCTGCCATTTTGAAGAACACATTTGAAAGTGCTTTTTTACGTAAAACCCAACTTAAAAACAAATTTCACTGCAACAAAAAAATAATAAATATTTATAAAGGTGTCTTTTAGAACATACATACTTTATACATAGCATACTGTGATAAATAACCAATAAAACATAACATAATTTACAGCTTGCTACAGAGATTATGAAAAAATTCACATAATCAAGTTTTTAATTTTCTAGATTTTTCATGTGAATTTACATCAGAAAAACATACATACTTAGTATTAGAGTTATTAATGATTTTGGAAATCACAGGCACATCTGGCGGTTTTGGAATGGATTTTGCATGTGAAAGACTGTTTTCTTCTATAGCATTGGAAAGTGAACTTCTTTCAAGAGCTCCTGAAATATGTTTGACATATGTAAAATTAGTGTTTTAAGAAGTCACTTTAACTGCACCAAAAATGAAAAGATAAGCAAAGCAAACAACACATAGATTCAATTATAAAGTATTCTTTATAGACTTTGAAAAGTTACTGATAAATAAGACAATATTTATAATACAAATATGAAAATTATGGGATTATTATTAGCTCACTCGAAAAAACCCACCTTAGTTTGGCATAAATTCTGAATAAACTTTTGTTGAATTTTAGGGAAATCACACACACGTCTCTCATTTTCAAAAGCAAACAAAATTTTGAAAATATTTTTTGCCCCTGAAATAAAGGGGCCTGCATTTGAATGTCTTCTAGACCAAGAGAGTTATATTGAAAATCTGTGCCAAACTGAAGTCCTCCCCCCCTTTTTTTTTTATTAAAGCCTGAATTAAAATTTTACATTAGCATATTGGGTCTGTTTCTCTTTCATTTTATTTATAACCATTTCTGGAAGGAGTGAGGTGATGTTAGTCTGTCAGTGTAAATGAATAATCAAATACAAGAATAGCTGTAATGATAATCTGATACAATTGAATAATTAGTACTGCTACAGATAATAAACACTAATTACCTGACACAGTATCAATAATGGTGTTATTATTAAGCTCAAATGATAACTGGTCACTTTTCCTCTGTAAAAAAAAAAAAAAAAAAATTATTGCGGTATTCACAAATATATTTTAATTCTTGTTCAAACAAAATCAAATTACATTACATTATATAATACAGATTTAATATTATATTTTTTTATTTACATATTCAATATTACACTGTATTTATTTTTTCCAATATAGTAATAGCCTATAAGTAATGCAGTAATTTTTTTCCTACACAAATAACTAATAACAGAAGTGAAGACAAATATTTCCAAAGAAAAGGTCATACCCAAAAATTTATTTCTATCAAAAACAAATAAATAAATAAAATATAGATCATATTTATTGACATTTAAAAATTTTAAATGGAATGAAATTTATGAAAACTGCATGTGACACAAAGATCATTAATACTTACAAATGTACATTTATTAATATCATGATTATGAAATTAAATGATCTTGTCTGTAAAAATTCCATACTGAAGTAATAGACTGATAGAAGTCACATACTCTCCTCAGAAGTAATGCATAGCAGGCATTTCTTTTTTGGTTGCTGCTTACTAGCTGTGATTTTAGATTAGTGCCTTCAAAGACCTTGATTCTAGTTTTTATAAGATTTAACAATTTGCATAATTTTAAATCTATTATTTTCTCTATATATAGGATTAAGATCAGCTTTCGAAATTTCAAGAATGCTTAGTTCTTATATTCCAGACTATTGTTGAACATGAGATCTTGTATCTGAGCTGCAGGAAAATATTTCCTCTGAGCACGCATAAACTATATACAAATTTCCTTTCTTATAGTTTGGGACATGCAGGGCAATACTAGTTGGGTTATATTATTGCATATCATTTTAAGAATTCCAAATGTAACTGTACGGAAATAAATAATAAATGTTCCCAGTGTGTCTCCTTATGCAATGAAACAATATTTAACAATTCATTATTATTTGAAAAGATTAAATAAGCACGTACTTTGAATTAAAATAATCTAAAATAATTCAGAATTTAACACATAAAATGATATTCCTACTTCTTCTTCACTGTCACTATCAAAGTCAGAACCCCAGTCATCAGAATCATCTCCACTTTCATACTCTCCTATTAAAATGAAGAGGCAATATTTCATATTTCAAATTTATTTTTTAACTGTTTCATTACACATATAGTATGCATATGAATATATATACAATTTTATTTGTATAATAAGCTTACATTAAAAATATGAAAGTATATAATTTATTATATTATGTATTATTATTGTAGGCTTATTATCATACATACATATATATATATATATATAATGTTGTATGAACTTAAATCCATTTAGTGCGAATACAAGTTATTATTACTTGCGCAATTGCTGCAAAGTTAGTTAATAATAATTTATTTCCCAAACAGCACTGATCAATTGATTACACCATCTCCCAAGCCCAATTAAAGTAGAATTATCCCAAAAGTGTGCATCCATACCGGCAAGTTACATTCCGAAAGATGCCCCGAAGCAATTTGAAAGCAAAACGCCAACAATGTTCCAACGGGGACCGGAGCCAAATCATCACGAAGAACAATATATCAATTGTAAAAGAAAAACCAAAACATGTAATCACTGTCATTGATCGGAAACTAGTTGACCTTTCAAGGGGAACAAACCAACTCCCGTTCAATGAACAACAATTGACAAAAACATGTAAATACGAAAGTGCTTCGTCCCCACTCGAGCCATAAGTCAAAGCCAAACCGGCAATTCCAGTCAGGCCAAAAATTTCCGCGAATAGTTGCTACTCAAAGAACCCATTCTCATGAAGCACCCCAGTCAATTCAATTTGGAGCAAAAATCAATTACTGTAGAGAAATCCCGTAAAACTCGAGCAACCGTCCCCGACACCATCACCTTTATGCATCTGAGCACTATACCATTTGTAGAAATTAAACATTGGAAACTGTCGCTATGAAATCGAATTCACGGCAAAGTTGAAATAAACATAGAAGACTACAAAAAAAGATAAACAATGCAAACCTTGCAAAAACAAATCAAAGAAAACACAAAAACAATATAAAAATAATATAGAAAATAATATAAATAATATCAGTGAATGTACATGAAGATACAAAGGCCAGAAAGGCACTAAGTAACTTACACTCCCTCCAGTGGGGGAGCCGGCAAAGTGTTCTTTTCGTGTCCGACTCAGAAGTGCAGGGTGTCCGAAAATTCCTAGCGGCAGCAGGGGCCCCGAACAATATCAGTCGGCAAGACCCGGGCGAAGTAATCCATGGTATATATACATGATACATATGAAATTTAGGTAGCTTATTATTATTATTATGTATTATTATTGTAAGCTTATTATACATATATAAATATACATGATACATATGAAATTTAGGTAGAAAGTATATAAATATAGTATAATATGAAATTTAGTAAATTTAGGTATAGTATATGAAATTTTTCATATGAACCTAAATTTACTGTATGTCTATGAAATATATATTTCATATACTTACACATATGAAATATTTTTAGATAACTGCAGAATTTAAATTTAGTACTCTTAAACTACAAAACAACAATTTTCATTTTGATTCAGAAATCACGGTAGACGATACAGCAGATTAAAAAAGTATAAGAAAGCTGACTACATCAACACAGAAACAGAATATCTATTCAAAAAATAAATGAAATACTATAAGTTTAAAAAAAATTACAATATTCAGTATAATTTCAAATCTTTTATAACACCTTTTGAGGAAAATAAAGCTAGATAGCCAGGCATTTTAACTTCACATCAACAATAAGTGACAAAAATAGCTATTAATGTAAAAAAACTCTTTAAAAATTAATTTCAGTGTTGTGTTGTTATGAAATAATGATTAAATTACTTGATTACAGAAAACTCTAGGGTTACAGGAATGGATGTGTTTGTGAGGGATTTTTCTAGACGGCTCATACCAGAAAAATAGGTGAAGTAAACTAAGATTAGATAACATAAGACTGGAGGTTTGTTGAAAGTCATATAAAAAAGTAAAAAGTATTTCAGAAATCAATGTTTTATTTATGAGAGCAAATTCAGCGTTCTAGTTCATATACAATGCAAAAAGACTTAAAAGCAAAATGCCGAGCTTCAATCGATGAATTTTCATTTTATTAAAGGACATGATATTGATGGCTAAAAAGTGTATGGTTGTATGAGTTACAGGGAAGAAGATAATGTAAAATTAATTGACACAAAAACTTTTAAGTTTTCATTGTATAAACCTTTTAAAACTAAATTTAAAACAAAGTGTTAAAAATATAAACATATTGTCTACCTTCACACTACGTCAGATACCTTTACACAACACACAACTCAGATATAAGAGCTACACAGTTTTCACTTAAGGTTTTCACCAACAGTAGTTGCATGGAATGCCATGTTCTGCAGAAAACAGTTTGAAAACTGTTATTAAATGTCTTTAAAATACTTACGTAAAGAATAGATTTTGATTTCACGAAAAATCTAGGGAACTATATTTTATATTTGGCTAGAATTAAACAAGAGTAGTGTTTCTAATGAGAAATGTACTACTGTAAGATAAACTTGAAGCACAGGGAAAAAATTATAAATTGTTTTTAACCAAAACAAAAAGACTCTCCCCCCCCCTCAAAAAAAGTAGGTGTCAGAATCAGGTATAAAACAAATTCAGAATGCAAGTAAAATTCTTTAGCTTGAGTGTCCAAATATAAATTTAATTCTGTAATTCATCTGACATCAGTTTAATTACAATTTAATTAAAAATTTAATTTATTTCAGTTCTTTTCATTAAAAAACTTTTACTGCTTTTTATTAGCTTCTGTTTAGTTAGTTTCATTAGTTTTTATTCATTTTATTGCTTTTCATTAGTTTGGAATCCAAAATACTTGTGCTTTTGATTAGGAGTAAATGATCACTTTAGTTTTTCAAGGATTACTTTTAATTTTAGATACATTTTGTAGGAGACTTCTTTAATTAAAAAAAAAAAAAAAAAGTCTAAACATTTTACCCTACCTTTTTAGAAGCAAATCAAAATTTTAATTTGGCAGCCTTGATTGTTTTGCTCATAAATGGGAAGGACAAGTTTTATGCTTTTAAAATATTTTAAAAAGTTCTAATAAAAAAAAGAAAAGAAAAAAAGTGAAACGTTTATTACCATTAAAATCAACACCTTCATGAGATTGAGATGAATGGTTCTTCTTAATACTTCTTGCAATCCTGGTTTTGAATAAACACATAAATTAAAAAGTAACTTTAATATATTTTTTAAAGATTTATTATAAAATGCATGAAACAGTTTAATACAACCAATATCATTATTATATTAAAAAACTTTTTGGAACTAAATATAAAATATTTAGAAAATAATAGCAATAAAATATATGGCAAATAAATAATTTAGGAGGAAGGAGAATATTTAGAGTAAAATACCTAGAAACTAATTTTCATTTCAACAGTATTTTGAAAGATATGAGAGAAAAACATTCAAAACATTTATTATAATAAATTATTATAAAACTATCACATATAATAATTTTAATGAGATTTTAATAATTTTTATAATAATTATTTATAAAAATTAATTTAAATAATTTTATAAGAAATTCTTCTTTACACTTATATTTTTTTAAGGTCAAAAATTTTATGATACTACAAAAAGCTCTATTAAAAAAAATCTATTGATTGTTAAAATGTTCTGCTTATCATAGCTTCTCATATACTGATTAAAAAAAATAGCTTTAAATTTTACTAATGTTTCAAAGAACAATGTTATTATTTCCATTACAGAAATAAAATTATACACTGCCAAAATATAAATTTGTTGTCTTCAGCAAGGTGTAAAATCTAAACTGGTATATGAGAAAAAGTGAATGCAGTTGGCTCTCTCTGCTACAGAAAATGAAAGCTATTTGACAAAAGGCAACCTTATGTCTTGAATCTAACGTGAAATAAAGAGAATGCTTAAATGCTCTGCTTTCATTAGAGTCTTCTGGGAATTTTTTGTGATGATGAAAACATTTCAAATGCATAATTACTATTGATACAACTGCTATTAATACAACTGCTCTTAATTATTGTTGTTTCATAGTTTCCATATAATTTACAAAATACTGGGTTATGTGATTGAAATATTCACTGCAAATAGCAAATATGGTAGAAACACAGCCTCTGGTCCAAAAAAACATTAGTCCACTGATATTATGTGATATGTCACAAAATCAGTAATAATCTGTAGGATGGGCTGTCATATCATGGTTTTCAATAGGATATGACCTTGTTACAGCAGACACCTAGTATACATAAATGTGAGTACTTTCACTTTATGAAAAAAAATCAGAAGGGCCTGTTGTACTTGAGCACAAAACATTAACACTGTATTTGGTACATGTATGGCTAATGAATGCTCTATAATAGGCATGGCCAAACTGCTGTTAATAACTTAAGTGAATCTTGCTGGACATTTTCGGCCATTTGGTCTCTTAAAAATGTGATTTGCTTGAACAAAACAGTAGTTAAATTTTTGAAACATAAAGCATGCTGTGCACAAAATATACAGATATGAAGTTAATTTAAGAAGTAATACTCTTTACTTTTCCCGCTTAGTTTAATATTATTTCAAGCAATTTCTGCTTAAATTGCTTTTGAGTAACCCCATTGCTTTCCAACAACAATCAATGCCCAACGTCTCGAAGGATTTAGTATTCGTTGTTAGGGTACTACTTCTATTGTCTTTGAATGACTTAGGTTCAGTCCTAGAATGACTTGGGTAACTTCTGAAGAAATGCTTCCCAAGAAGGAAACTTTCTGACCACACAAGGACTGCTTCAGTCCAGCAAAGAATTTCAAATCTGGGGACTTTATGTTTGGTGAGATACATTTTCTTGCTCATACTTGGTTAAGACCTATTACAATTTTCTCATTTGCAGATGTCCTTCGCAATTTCCCTGCCCTAAACAAATTAGATTATTTTTAAGTAATTTTCTTGTCAATTTTTGCAACCACTCACAGGAATATCATACAGTTACACTTTTCTCACGAGAAACTATCTTTCATAATAATTTTTTGATATTCCTAGGCAGAGATATCATTTATTTCAACAATGGTTAAGCATCGTGAAATTTTTGTGTGGTCACATGGACTTTTCCGTTGGATCAATAACGATTTAAATTCTGATCAAAGTTTGTGTTTTTTCAACTCATAATAACTCACTCTTTTGGATTCGTAAATTCTTATATAGGATTAAGCTGGAAGTGAGATTTAAAAAATCTCAGATTCCCTATTCTTTCTCATATCAACTAGAATTTTAAGTTAACTTTCATAAATCACCAATCTTAAGCTATTTATTAATAAACTAAAACGATTACTTAAACTATTTATTTCAAAAAACTTAATTATTCTGTCAGTATACTAAAAATCTCATTCTATTAGAGTTAACTGCATGCTTAAAAAAGCTACGTTGTCTGTTACCCCAAATATGAGATAGCTTCTATTGTACATGACAACCCTATATTTTACACGCTGTTTTATAATAAAAAAAAATAAATTGTCATAGGAAGCTTTATTATGATGAAGGCGGTCTGTGATAAAAATAACTAATTGGTCTCCATACCATTAGTTAATGTTAAATAAGCTTCCCCCAGGTTAAAACTAAGGAATAAGTGATACATTATCTTCATTCTTTAAATATTAAGATGCAAAAATAAGAAAATTATTAAGAAACAACAAAAAGTCTTATATCCAGACCACAGCAACACAAAAGATTCATACGATGTATTTTACATTAAAATAAAAATTATGTTTTATGCATTCATTACTCCCAGGTCTGCGCCAAGCCTAATCAGTGCCGTTGTGCAAATTTCTAGCGAGTGCCTTTATGCAGTGATGATATTAAAGGGACATTGCTTATGGCTAATATTTAAAACGAAACATTATTAACATATATATGTATATAAAAATAAATAAATACATACATACATATTATCTTTTAATTTGCCTAAATATGCAAACAATTTTTGCTTTGTTAAAACCCTAACTTAAATATATTTATTGAAGAATTATACATACATTTAGGTCATAAAAAGCCACCCAACTGGTATAGTGGTTAGCATTGCTGACTACGGCGCCGAAGGGCCCTGGTTTGAATCTCGGAGAAGGCATGGATGTCTGTAAATGTATAATGTCCATGCAGCATGGGGGGGGGGACTCTAAATATGCGAGGCGAAAATCCTCTCGAAGAGTTAGTGGTAGAGGAAGAGGGTTGGGAGGCGCTCGGAACCATCCCCAGGACGTTCTCCATCAAAATTGGGGGGTGAAACTGAGCTAAATCGCACTGTCATCTGTAAGGTGCTCAAGGCTGCTGCCAACGACAGGCATATCTTGCGTTCCTTGCCGCGAGGAATTTTGTGGGCTGGGGCTGACTATAGGTCAGACAAGTGAGCATTATTTACTGAACACAATTTATTATCTTAAAATTAAAAATTTAGATATCTGTAGGGCTGATATCTAAAATTCTTTGCACACTGCTATGTTGTTGACAATGATATAGCTTAGAGTTTCAACTGGCAATGCTATATTTCCTATTTTCCAAAAGTTGGCACAAACTGCAGTTCATGATAAGATCTATACTATTTTATCGTTTTGATTTTTATCAGTAATGCTTTTTTCAGTTTTTGACATAAGTCAAGCCATCTTGTAAATATATATGAACGAAAAGATGTTTGATGCAGATGTGTATGTAAGGGTACAGGCTACGTCATTGGATGCCATCGACAAATTGCTTAGTCCTTATTTTGTGTCTACTGTTGCAATGGTAGTAATTTGCACAATATTTATCTTCTTTGCTCTTTTTTTTTTTTTTTTTTTGGGGGGGGGGGGACTGCTTGTTGTCATTTTTCTACATAAAAAAGGTAAGTGCAGTTACATATTATGTCAAACTTAGGCTAGCTTTTTAATTCAGAAAAGCGATGATTTGAGCATTCCAGCCACATGGTTTCTAGCAAAAAGAAAAACTTCAAATCTTGACGATTTACATGAATTATTATATTATATTGCAAACACAAGATCTAAGGTGGGAAAGGCAAAGCTTGGTATTAAACAGCATAAAATTTTTTAGTGCCCTATTTTTTTCTTTGGTACAGTAAGCACTTTTTGTAAATTTGAGCAAGAATTCATAATTTCTTGAAAATTATTTTCTTTCACAAATGAAAAGTGTTTTCATATTTTTAAGCACCATCCACTATGAATTTATTTGTTTAATTTTTTAAATATCCACTTGTCCTTCATTAATTTGAGTTTCAGTTTTTACTAATGTACGATGAACATAATTGTCACTATTTGAAAATGCAATAAAATTTTATGTTTTTGCATGTTTTGAAACTGATCAATAAATCTGGCCAATTATGTATCATTAACAAATTGTACTTAAGCATATTTAAAGGCTGTATACTTTAATATGATGTCCCAGGAAACATTTCAGCTTTGTATGTCCATAGCTTTGTATGCCATCACTGGCCATGATGATAAGGGCCCAAAACATTACTATTCCACCTCAAATTCTGTTCACAGCAGCTGAACATGCTGGCTGCATGAGTATTCTCCTCACTAAGAAACCCCTCTCTACTTCCTCCATAACTGCTTTTGAATGCTCTAGAATTCATGGAAGAGAGAAAAAATCTTACGCGATGCTTCCTTTTTTCCCTCAATAAAGGCAATTAAGTGCATTGCCATAATTAACACAAACAAACAAATAAAATGCCAACAGTATGGTCTCAGCGAATTTTGTAACCACCCTCAATAAAGAATTAAAGGTTCAGTCAAATGAAAACAAGATAGATGGAAAATAAATAAACTCTTTATTATTTCAAAAGTAATACCATAATTTTTAATGCATTTATCTCAAATTAAGGCAAGATGGTCAATGGCATTATGGAAAAATGTTTTCGGTTGCCCACAGAACCATGACTGAGCTAGGTGCGCACCTCTTCATCTGAAGCAAATCAAAAGCCAGTAATGTCTTTCTTCAGGGCTCCAAAAATATGTAAATTACAACAGGAGAGTTCTGTATGGAGCTATACAAATCAACTATATGAAGGATGTTTCAAGTGCTCCCCAGCGAAACTTCTGCAGTACAGCCTTAACAATCATGGCAACAAGTGGGCGGGCATTATCCTGGAACAGAATGATGCCTGCATTGATCCATCAACATTCCTGGGCATTTGACACTTCAATTTTTGGAAAGATCCCACATACTGCTGTGCATTAATTGTTGTGTCATGCTCCAGCAGAAAGTCAAAGAGCAGCGAGCCCTTGCAGTCAAAAGAAAAAGGTCAACATGACTTTCCTAGAGCTGGTGCGCACAGCTTTGGAATTTTTTGATGGAGTTGAACCTGCGTGCTTCCACTGTTGGCTCTGGCTCCAAATGATGGTACCATGTTTCATATCCCGCAATAATATGGGACAGGAAATGATATTCTTGATCGTGATATCGCCCCAGATGTCGAAATTCTGTCAAGCTGTGAGGAACCTACTGAGCACAGATTTTCCAGAACTATAGATGCTTTGCCAAGATAGCGTGAGTGGTACCATGACTAATGCCCAACAAGAGTCAACTGTCTTTCACCATCCACCAATGCCCAGTGGGAGCCAAATGTCTTTTACCGTCCACTAACTGTCTTCTCTGATGGCAGCATCCAACGCAGCAATGACAGAAGGGGTAATGACACGATGAGTCTGTCCTGGCTACTGCTGTCTTTCAATGACACCCGACCTTCTCGATATTTTTATTCCATTCAAATATAAGCGCACGTAACATAAGGTATTCGTCACAATCAGTACGCATTTTGGGCATGAATTTCACTTCCTGACAATCCTTCCACAATCAAAAAATGCACTACAGCATGCTGTTTTTCTTTCCCGGCCTCCAAAGTGATGGCAGACGGACACACAACTCGCTGACCTCACTTCGAGCGCACCTAACAGATAGATGAGACAACAGGCAGCAGCATTCATACTGTTCCTTCCTGATTCCCAATAGAGGGTGCTTCTATACACAATGTTACCTGTGTTACAAAATTCCGTGCCATGTCCATTATACAGCCTGTCTCTTGTTTTCATTTGACATCATCTTATATTTTCAAATTACTAAAATATGAAGGCGCATCATTAAACCAATGACAATAACAATCGCCTAAACACTTTCTAAAGCATATTTTTACATAGTTCTCTAACCAAATATTTCTATCATAAAATTAAAGAAAAAAAATTCTTAGTCTTACCTTTTCGCATTTGTAGCTTGAGACTTGCATTCCTGTACACACTTTGATATTTGCCTAAAAGCAAAAAGAAAGGAAAAAATCGAAATTAATACGATGAGAAATGATACAATAATTTTTAAATTTTGATAAAGTTTATACCATGTAGAAACGAATAAAATTCATTCCTTATATTTTTATTATGGTAACTTATGGTAACCATTTAAACTTGGTTCTAGCAATAACGCACTCTGAGTAAATTCTAGTTTAAAGTTATTTTCGATTATTGCACTCAAATTTTGAATTCATTTTGAAATATTTTGAAACTGAAGTTATTTATCGGCCAAAAAATTGTATAGGCAAATGATAAATTTTGACTAAAGTGAAAATAAATAGGTTTCTTAAATAATAAAATAGTAGTAAATAAATGTTTTTCTCTCAAATACGTTTCGGAAGAAAAATAATGTATTTTTAATAGCTACAACTAAATAAGAATATCAACTCAAATTTACATAAAAGAATTTTAATAAACGTAGTGGGTATTTAATAAAATCTATATCAATCAATGTAGTGTTGTCTTAATGGTGCTCAATTACTACTCATAAATTATTAGTGCTACTTATTACTATTTATTATTATTGGCTATTGATAATTTCATACAAACTTGTGTATGAGTGATAATCGAACATAACTGTAAATTAAAAATCACAGTTTCTCATAACACTTCGTTTATGCATACGTTCTGAATTATAATAATAATCATAATAATAATGAACAAGACCTAGTAGTTAAACAAAATAACTCCCTATGTATTTAAAAAAAATCAAAGGCTTCAGAATAATATCACATGCCTGACCATATATAGCGTGACTATGAGCAAACATGCAAGAGCAGTTATTACTGATTATTTACGAAACAGGGCTTATGTGAGATATCTACAGGAAAAAGAACGCTTTTTTAGTTTTATTTGCTTCTCAGAAATTCATGAAATCAGGTATCAGATAGCTGTAACTTAAAGAAAAAAGACGAAAGCTGTGAAAAGGTTATTTTGCTTTAACATCCAATGCATTCCCAATTTACTCTTTAGACATCTTATTAACAACCCTGCTAAACGTGTCTGAGTGTTTTGTAGAGTGCCAATATGGGTCGTGCTATCCGTTTTTAGATAACAAATATCAACTATGCACGCGAAAAGGGGAAAACATTCCTAACAACAAGAATCAGATGTGTGAAGAAATTTTTCAGAACTGGGGGTGGGGTGGTATTTACACTTAAACACAATACAATTTTTAAACTCTTATATTATTTAAGATTCAAAACAATTCATATTCAGATTTTTGTATTATTTTAAATTCTTGCATATTACAAATCAGATAAAAAAATTTAAGAAAAAAAGAAAGGGGGAACCTCTTCTGACTATTAAAATATAAAGAAATAAAATTATACAGTCAAAAGTCGTTAATATGGACTCGTCGGGACTTCGGCGATTCCGGATTATCGATTTTTCCGGATTATAGATCATCAGTTTAAATCTGGTAAGATGGCATGCAAAAATTAAAAATATGAAACCGTAATTTATGAAATAAAGAACAATTATGATCTAAAGGGTATCAAAATTTACAAAAAGAAAAAACTTAATATTTATTTGTTTACTTTATTAAACATTTCCTTCAATGTAAGTTGCTTCGTTTCATGTGATAATACTTTCTCTTTAATTCTATTAAACAGACATAATTTCTTGTTTAGTTACAAAGTTCCGCTGTTCCAAGTCCTATAATTGCTGTGTTGAGAATACCGACTAATTTGTCAATCGAAATGTTTTCGTTTTCAATAACCTCTGGGTCACTTTCTTCACTATCGGAAGCGAATTATAATGACAAGGCACTTGATTTAAATCATATCAAAGACGGAGTACATCGAGATGAAATACTAAACTTAGTACGGAATTATAATCCAAATAAAATAAAAACATCTGCTCTGAAGATAAGGATAGTGTTGACAGATCAACTTCCAATCCGCGGCGTGAAATTGATAAACAGATTTCGGATTTCAAAACATACTTTCGCTTTGTAGATACAAATTACATATTAGTAAATATATATTGGAAATTCTATTTGACATAACCTTTCTAATCTATCATAATCTAATAATGACGTTTCTCTGCCCCCCCCCTCTGCCGCAGAGCAGCGTGAAATTGATAAACAGATTTCGGATTTCAAAAACATACTTTCGCTTTGTAGTAAATATATATCGGAAATTCTATTTGACATAATCGAAAGTTCAAGCTTACTTTTATAAAATTGCTCTAACAGTCTGCAAAAAATAATAAGCCGGATCCAATTCGAAGATTAAGGAACAACGCAATCTGCAACATTAACTGAATTAGATAACTTTAGCTTAGCGTATAACTCCGTTACACATTAAACGCGCATGCGCACAAACATATTCGCAGCCGTAAGGGTCTTACGCGCTCTCGTAAACGCCTGTGCGCATGCGTAAACGCGACGCATGCGCAGAAAGTTTGTAGCTTTGAGGTCCGGATTATAGATCATTCCGGATTATGGGTGTCCGAATTAACGACTTTTGACTGTAGTTCCTAACCACATATTTGTGAGCAACCCTCGTTTTAGATTAAATTCAAAATTTCAACAAAGTTTCCTTACTCGAAATTACAGGTACATATAAAAAATAAACAAACGTACAAACTAACATCGGAAGTATAAAACAATGCTTTTTAACAACTACACTTGTGAGGAAAAGGCAAGAAAACTGAAAATCACCATTTCATCTAAAGGAACTAAATAAATTAACTATTGACTGGTTTCGGAAGAGTTAAGTGATGTAACTAGAAGAGGTGGAAGAATGTAAAACGCAAACAAATCGCAGTATAAAAGAATCCGAAGAAAATAACAAGCAAATTGAAAATTAAACTAGTTTGCACAATAGAAACTTGAAACAAAATGAGATAAAGAGAGCAAAAATTGTTGTATGATTCAGCAGGAAATATCGAATGAATAATTTAGCAAGGTCAGTTTGCTGTTAATGTGAAGGGAATGGATTTTGGATTGCGCATTTTCATATTAAACGTCTACGATGGACTAACTACCAAACTTATCAAAATAAATGATCACCCAATGAAATTTTAATTAACATAAAATTAAAGTCATTATAACTAAAATTACACTAATCAATTACCACTGCGTCACAGAATAAGTAAGGTTTCTTTTCTACATATATGTGAATACTGATTTCAGATACCAGCCAGAACTTTTCCATTATTCCAATTTCCTCAATCACGTCACTCAGTAGTACGTAAATACTTTTTAAAAATGCATGATAATGCTGTTGTTTAAATACGTACAGAAAATTGGAGGAAATATTTTTATATTTCTATGTTTAAACACTTCTCATGCCTTATTTCTGGTTTTTATAATCCATTTTGGGGTTTTAAACTAAACGGTAATTCTTAATTACGGAAACAAATCACATCAGTACCATTTGTTCACACTGTGAAGGTTGAAATATGAAAGTCTTAAGATCCAGTAAGAAAAACACAAGTGGAATATTTGTACTAATTTAAAAATTACTGGCTTTCTCTCTAGATTTCAGCTGGAATTATAAAACACTACCAAATTCTTTGCAAATGAAATATCAGACACCGGAAAAACCACGTTTCCGAAAATAATAAAAATAAAACATCGATAATCCTCGAAGAATTTAATATCATCAAGACAGAATTTATGGATAATGAAACATTTTAATTCCCAACATTACACAATAAGCTAGAACTTATGAATATCAAAACCTAAGTAAGTCAATGGATACAAAAGGGCGAAGATAAACATGTTTTGGAAACAAATTTTCGTAACGTAACTGATAGAAAAATCAAAATGACACAGTAAAACATCAGCAGTTTGATCAGCAACTAAAAACATCATCTGGTAGTCTTGCAAGAATTTTAGCAAGAGTTTTCTCCGAATATCTGTATAAATTTCCTGGACAAGAACAAATATTAAAATATAGTGAATGATTCATCTTTTGAAGTCATATGAAGCCATGTATATTTTTAAAATTTCACTTTTCTCCCCAAGATTCTTCAGGACAATGAGCAATGAGGGTTATGTACGATTTCATAAAAGTTATGATAAAAGTATCTATTTACAATAAATAATAATATATTATTTTTCCACTAAAAGAAATAATTTAAAAAATTACTCATAGTGCTAATTGAAATAATTACACGAGTTAGTGCGTAAAATATAAAGATTTAATTAATCTTACAGAAATATTTAAAAAAATAATAAAAAATTAACAGGCGAGTGGTTAACCGATCTCTCCTAATTTATCCAACCTCAGTCCATGAAGGTGTCATTGACATCTAGATATGAACATGCATGGCTTCAAAGGTTCTTGCAAATATCCTCAACAAAAAATTGCAATTTTACATTATTTAGACTCATTAAACACAATAATAAAAGAACACATTTAAAAATAATGCATGCAATTCTACGTAATTAATAGGAACGGTGAAGTCTAAATCCATGTGCCCCCAAATCTAAGAGCATTCAATGTCATAAAAAGCGCAGGTTTGGTCTACTTTTTCCTATGTGCAAGATGCTCATCCCTCTCTCCCTTCTAGAAACCACTTTTCATTCTTATTTCTATACTTCCCAGTATTACACAGGTGAACAAGAATTTGAATCTCATTCTGAAGATCCAGGATTACTTTGAAATATAACAATCCACAATAAAGTGAATTTCGCAACAAAAACCAGTCGCAAGATTTTTTTTATTTTACTACCACATATAAAGTAAATAGGCTTTTGCCTGCCTACCATCTGTGTGAGAAATTCACTAGTACATTTAATTTCTACCAAGAACTACTCCTTTTCATTTGTTATTTACCTTATTAGTATTTTGATGCAAGAGAACAAATTTTCAGCCTATTTGCAAGATCAAAATATGAAAGTTCGGAAGATCAAAAGTATTACAAAATATGAAATCGATAATAAAACAAATTTCAAATTCCAAATTAGTGCTTTCAGATACCCATATTCGGTGGAAGATTACGTTATTCA